CTCTGGAATTTTGCATTAAAGTATGCACTGAAAAGGCAGCCTTAAAAAAAAAAATACAAAAACAAAAACAAAAAACAGCTCCAGCTCTGAAGCTTTGCTTCTTCCTTAAGTAGATTTAAATACCTAAAAAGAGCTACGGGTCAATGGCCAACATGAGCCAAATTACTAATTGGACACCAACCATATCTTTGTCAGGCTACATGGCCTCCCTGCCCCAGCCCCTACCTCCACACTCCACCCCCCCCCAGCGCCCCGCCTTCTCACTCCTGGTGAAAGGGAGAACAGAAGGAAAAGTCTGTTGGAGACTTCAGAGAAATGGGAGCTTGCAAGAAGAGGGAATATCTGTATCCTTTCCGATACCCCATTGTTTAGGGATATGCTTTCATTTTTCCTTAGTTTTACTTTGCCCTTTGTAGCTTGGAGGAGTCCTGGAATTTCCTTCATACGTGAAGACTTAGAGATCCTCTCCATTCCAATCCCCCACTCATCATCCATCCATTCAGCAAAAGTTACTAAATGCCTACTACATTCCAGGCTCTTCCTGGGGGCACTAAGGACGTTAACAGTCAATGAGACAGGAAATTCCATTCATAAAGCTCACATGCTAGCAAGGGAGGCTGGCATCATCTGAGACACATGAGTAAGATGCTTTCAGATGATGACAAGTACCAGGAAGACAACTGAGCAGGTGACATAATAGAAAGTGACCGGGCTGGGGAACAAGAAGAGAGGTCTTCAGGTGGGACAGGGAAGCGCTTGTTAAAAAGGTGACATCTGAGCTGAGATTCAAAGGTGGAAAGGAGCCAGCCATGTGAACACACATTATAAGTAGGGGAAAGCACAAGTGTAAGTCCCTGAGACAGGAACAAGTTTGATACACCTGAGGAACAAAATGAAGACAAGCAGCCCAGAGGTCAAATCAAGAGAGAGGTTGCAGAGATAGGGTCAGAGAGGCCATGTCAATGGCCCTTTTGCACAAAGGAGGAGGGCGAAACCCAGAGGTTAAATGGGCTGCCCAAACTCACATGGCTAATAATCGCTATGGCTCATTCTAGAAACTAATTCTTTTGCCCCCAAATCCAGAGTTTTCTGTACCATATTGATCTGCTTGACTTGAAGTGTGGCAATATCGTTTGCTGATCTTACTGATTTTTAAAAGCCCTTAAGAGGGGCGCCTGGGTGGCTCAGTTGGTTGAGCACCCAACTCTTGATTTTGGCTCAGGTCATGATCTCAGGATCATGGGATCTAACCCCGAGTTGGGCTCCATGCTCAGCGCAGAGTCCACTTGTCCCTCTCCCTCTCCTCCTCGTCCTTCTCTCTCTCTTTCAAATAAATAAATAAAATCTTTAAAAGCCCTTAAGATACCCCAAAACAGCAAACCAATCCCAGTTTTCAGCAAAAAAATCAACCACAAGTGACCCCAGCGATGTAAAATGCACATGAAAGCCAAGACTCAGTGCCAGTCTACTTTTCTGTTGGTCCCACAAAAGCAGTTACTCTATTTGTTGTAGGCTCAGCTTTACAAATACGGAGGAAGGCCATAGCTCACCAGAGAATAATCATTTTATATTTAGGTCTTATTTTTGCACCTAAACCTCTTGAAAGTGCTTCGCTTAATTCACGCAAGTGCAATCAAAACCAATCTGCTCTCAATCCACCTTCATTCTGTGCTATTAAATTGTCAGGTAATGGGACTGTGAGCAAAACATCCTAATTACAACTTCCTTCCACAATCTGTGAGCATCTCCACCTGAAGGTTCAAGTCTGTTAAAACTCAAATCCTACAGTCCACAGAGCTGTCTCTCCCCTGTTCTATTCTAATGTTAGGTTCCCCGTCATCCCTGCCCTGCTAAATATACTTGGTCTGTCTGTGTAAACCTGAACCTCCAAAGAACAGACCCAAAGTCTGTCCAGTGGCCAGTGACAGGCCCACCAGAGGTAGAGGAAGAGATGCTGTTTGGCCAGATGGGTTAATGGAGAAAGGAATGAGTAGAAAAGGCATTCTTCTTCCTCTTCCTCCTTCAATCTTCCCTCCCCTGCCCCTCCCAACTCCTTTTTATTGTTTTCCTTTCTCCTTGCAATGAGCTTCCCCAGTCCTTGAGCTCTGCAAGCCTCACCAGGCAAGAGCCAGAGGTCCCAATAATTTAAGAGATAGACTTAAGAGATAGACTCAAAGAATGTATAAGGACCCCTGTTCTAGTCCAACCCCACCATCTACTAGCTGTGTGACCCTGGGTAAGTTACTCAACCTCTCTGTGTTTTAGTTCCCTCACCTATAAAATTGGGACAGCAACTTCCTCCTAAGATTAAACAAAGAAGACTAAATAATTTATTCTTCTAGTTAAATTGTAATTAGTTAATAATAAATTGTTTATTTTTTAATATATGTAAAGCACTTCACAGCACCTGACACATAGTTCTATAAGGTGTGAGATGTGCCACCCTCACTCCTGACCTCTCTCCTGCCTCCACCCCCTTGGCTAAAAAAGACTACTGTCACCCTCACCCATGAACAATTGTACATGAAGTCAGAGCATCTTACTGGAAGATAGCTCAGTGGTATCCTGATGCCGATCAAGTGGGGACAAAGCACTGATATCATTGGGTAAGTATTATGAGAATAACTATATGAAATAATGTGCATAAAACACCTGGCATGCAAAGATTTCTCATTAAATGTTGGTATTTTTATCAGAGTCTTTTCATTTTTGGCACCATCAGTTGTGACTGGAGATGCTACTTGCGTACTGCTTCCCTGTGTCAAGCTGTAAAATGTTGGATTCATCTGTGTTTAGCAGTGTGATATAAATATATACAATGATGATCATATAGAAACATATTCTCAAAGCCAAGGCAAGCTTCACTGCCCTCCATCCTGACCAGAGTTCCTTGAAGATCCCAATATGACTTTTTAGACAACTCCCCACTTGACACACCTCTTGGATGGCTCAGGACATCCCCCCCTCCCCCTCAACAAGCCCCGGACTGAACTCACGAGCTTTCCCACAAGACTGGTCCTGCCCCAGCTGCCTTCCCAGTCATTCCAATGACTCTATGTCCACACTCTATTTACACAAAACCTGTTGATTTTCTGCCCTCCATAGCTCCCTACCCCACCCACTTCTCCATCCCACAGCCACCACCCTGGTCCATGTCACCATGGCATCTGGTCCCTCACATCCACAAGAGCCACACAGCACTTGTTTTGAAACTCAGTTCAGATCATGTCTCTCCTCAGCTTGAAACCTTTCAGTGGCTTAGGATAAAGGCAACACTTCTGCCCCCACCCCACAGCCCCACCCTACCTGCAACAACATGAGGCTCTGGGGTCTGACCCTATGGATCCACCAGCCACTCTCCCTTGCTGTTCACTCTAGCCATGAAAACTGCCTTTCAGTTCCTCAAATACACATGTCCCCTCTACCTCAGGGCCTTTGCACTTGCTGTTTCATCTTCTAGGTCAGTTCACCTCCTCAGTAGCCAGTTAATTGCTACATATCTTCCAGGTCTCAGTACAAGTGTCTGACTACCTTCCCTGACTACCCACCCTCCCTGATCCTTGTCAATCTATCACTTTCTTAAAATCCTGATGCTTTCCTTCATGGAACATACATAAACATGTAATTATCCACTCTTCTGTGCATTGATTGATTTAGGTCTGCCTCCCTCACTATAAACTCCAAGAAGGCTTTGTCTATACTATTCTGACTATACCTCCAGGGACAGCGTTTGGTAAGTAGTAGGTATTCAATAAATACATTTTACAGGGATCAAAAAATAAAATAAATAAAATAAAATAAACCAAGGCACACTTTCCAGAGATCAACAGACAAAAGTGGATTGGGTTTGGGTTGTATTAAGGTGTAACAGTTTCAGGGTTGAAACAGGCAACACATCTTCCCTCATTCTATAATAGCCAGTCAGTTTATAAGACATTCACTCAACAAACAAGTGGGTTTCCTCTTTTCTGGTCTGGAGAAAAGAATAAATGCACTCGTAAAAAAGCATTAAACATACCTGCACACATCAAATAAACCAATTTCAACCCAATACACACAGAGGTGTTGCCTAGCCCGACCCAGCTTCAGAGGAGCTGAGAGAAATGATAAAGCACATTCTTGTCAAAACTGGACACTTGGTTTCAACTTGTTCTGCTCCCACACCAATCACTCAGGAGGGGCCTTAACATCTGTATGCTAATTACAGAACGGTGGTCAACGCCAGGCACACACAAATCTGTCTTAGTCGCTCTCTTTTGCGCCGAGGGAACACTGTCCAACATGCATCAGAGCGTGTAAACCACACTACTGCTCAGGCGGACACATTCCGTTCCCCCTCCCCAGCCCTTGGCAGCCCCACCCTTCTTGCAAACCCTTCCCCCCTCCCACCCCTACTCCGATCTGAGCCAAACTAGCTGCCTGGTTTGGTAATAAGATTGAGGGAAGACTCCAAAGGCCCCCCGGGCTCCATTATTCCATATGCCCTCCGAGAAGGGCCACCTCCAGGGACCGTTGCTGCAGATCCAAGCCCCACTTGCTGCCAGGAAACCTTTCCCACTGAGGACACCCTGGGCAGGCGGCGCAGCTCCAGGTCCAGGGGGAGGCACCCCACCCATCTGCCAGAGAGACAAAGATCATCAGAAACAAAGGAAGGACACACACACACACACGCACACACACACACACACACGCACACATAAAGTCAAAAGCAAATACCGACACTTGGTGTGATTTCAAGCCAAACAGCCGGCTTGGTGTATCTCTAAATAGGTTTTTGGAACAATCCAGGAGGGACAATGATTATGTGGTAATGACAGGCACTATCTGGGTTTGGAACCCCCGCTGCCTCCGCCCTCCTCCCACCCGCGCTGCGGCTCCCAGGCGCATTTTCCAGCCTCAGGACACACGCTGCCAGGAGCAAGAGTGCTTCCACTCACGGAAGCGCGCGCACGCCGGAGATGGAGGCAGGGCGCGGGCCGCCAAAAGTAGGAAATACCAACCTTTAGGATCCCAGTTCACCTGTTTTCTTGGAGTCTCGATTGGAAATTTCATTGCTCCGTTGCCCAGAGGGGAGGAAATGAAAAGAATCAAAATAATAATAAAGTCCTCAAGCTTTACACGCCTCGGTACAGCAGTCCAACAAAACAATTTCCAAGGATGGGGGAGCCTTGGACTGGCTCGTGGAGGAACCCCAGAGAAGGATAAGTGGAAAAGACTGGCTAAGGAGAGACTGCAAACGGCTTAGGTGTTGGCACCGGTTGAGGGGTGGCCAGCTGCAGCCCCCTGGGTGAAAGGAAAAGTAAGACTGGTGAGGGGTGGATGGAGAGGGAGGCTCAGGAAGATAAAAGAGCCAAGCTGCTTCCCAAACGCGGTGGCGGCAGGTGGGGGGCTGAGCAGCCGGAGGGCCGGCGCGAGGGAGAAACCCACTGCAGTGTCACTCCAGCCCCCGGAGGCGTGTGCGCACACACTCCCGCACACACACACTCGCCCGGGCGCGCGCTCCGGCGGGCACGTCAGCCTCGCTCGGCCGCGCACAGCGCACACGCCCCACCCCGGCCGCGGCTCCTCGCCCCCGGGCGACGCCCCCCACTCCCCACCTCCCGAAAGCCATTGGACGTGGGAGTGGCGCTGCACCCAGGGAGCGCGCGGCGAGGGCGACCCTCCCCGCAGCGCGCCGCAGACGCCGAGCCGCGGCGGGAGAGCGCGCGGCGGGTGAAGGCGCGGGGCCACGGAGGCGCGCGGGGCTCCGGGCGCCCGGCCGGGAGCAGCGGCCGGGAGCTGACTCGCCCTCGAGGCGGCGGGGCGGCGGGGGACGGCGCGCGGCGGTGGGCGCGGCGGCCGGAAGCCGCGGCGGGGCGGGGAGCGGGCGCCAGGCGCCCCGCTACTTACTGGCTCGGCCGGCCGGCGGGCGGGCAGGCGTGGAGGCGGCCGCGGTGCGCTCGGTGGAGTTGCAGCCGGAGACACGCTTGGCTGCCTGGAAGGCGCTGCAGGAGGCGGAGGAAGGGCCTCGGCGGCCCCGCCGCGGACCTCGGCCTCGGGGGTGACCTCTTGTCGCCGCTCCCACCCCGGGCATACACACACACAGCCTTCTTTTCTCACTTCATTTTTCCACTCCAGCCCCCTCCCGCGCCCGGTTCTCCCGCCTGCGCCCCGAACCCGCGTCCCCAGCGCACTCGGAGGAGGCCGGTGCCAGCCATGAGCCTTTTGTTCTGGGACCGCTCCGCGTTGGCCGCGCTCTCCCCACCCGGGGAAGCTCGCTCCCCAGGCGCAGCCCGGTCCCTTCCCCAGCTACCTGCCGCCCGGCTGGGGCAGCTACTCGGAGGCCCTGGAGGCGGCTGGAGAGAGACGCCACGGCCCCAGAGGAAAGTGGAGTTGCCAAGACCTAGCGGCCCCGGGATCCAGGGGGCCCAGCAGGAGCAAGTGCGAAGGGACCCCACACATGTTCCCGGAAAGAGGCTGAACCTGGCGCATTTCCCCTACCCCCACTGAGGCCTCGATCTCCAGAAGAGCCAGGTGGTGCTGAGATGCTCTTGAATGGGCCACTCGAAGTACCGATATGAAGGATGCTTACAAATTACTTCGGCTCCTAGCAACAGAGACTTGCACATAGTAGATATTCAAGAAATACTGGCTAAATGAAGGCATAAGCTGCATGAAGCAGTGTTGGACAGAAAGCAGTTTAAATTACTCTCCGTTCACTGTCCACTCGACATATATCTTTAACCCCTTCTACGTGCCATCACTGTGCCAGGTGCTGGTGGTATGGGAAAAACGACATAGGTATGGACCTTGCTTTCAGGGGTCTTACTGTCTAGTGCCCACGAGGTCCAGCTAGGTTTGTTGCTGCCCTTACTTATGAAAGAGTGAGTGACTACCTGGCTTATTGCCAAGCCTGCCCACTGTGGCCCTAAAGCCGCACACTGGCAGTTGTGCTCTAGATGTATGCCACTCTAGCACCTTGAGGCTTCTGGGAGCCCTGTTACAGCAGCATTCTTTCTCATCATCCTTCCCGCACTGTCACATCCAGGCTTCTGAGTTCCAGAGCAAGATCCACAGAGGTCCACTGTCCTCTGTGGGAAGGGTTGGTAAGTGCTTTGTCACTGACCCTGCAGGCTGCTGGGACCAGAACCCTGAGTTCTCTGCAGACCTCATTCAGGCACACCTGGTACCAATCTGATGGTGCTACCCTGACTCCTCAGCCCTGCAGACGCAGATTCCCAAGCCACTTGACCGCCACTTTCTCTGGGAGTCCATTTCCACACTTTGTTTCCCTCTACTAGAAGGCTGAGAGGATGGAGGAGACATGGAAATGAGACAAACAAGGAATTTCTGCTTCTCCAGCCATGCCCCCAGAGACACTAGTATGTGTGTGAATTCTGCCCCAAAACCCCAAGGGAGTTGCTTTTAAGCTCCTGAGACAGCCTTCAGAGCTTCACTCCGCCCTCTCAACTGCTCACAGGCAGGAGGGCTCCAGCCCAGTCACTGCAATGCAATGTTTTTACTTGCATCTGAGTCAGAGAGAAGTGCCCCCTGGGAAAGACACCTTCTCTCCCGAAGCCTCTGAGGATAGGGGAGCAAGACTGACATGTATCAAATGGCCCCTCACAGCCTCATACTTCTCTCCATTTATCTTCTATATGTCATGTTGAAGAAGCTCTAACTGGCCTCATTTTACAGATGAGAAGATCAAGGCTCAGAGACTTAAAGGAACATGCCCAAGGTCACAACACAGAGAGTCAAACCCAAGGGAGAGCATCTGGTCCCTGGATCCATGAATCTTGACCCTGACGCTGTCAGATGGGTTCTTTGGGGTCGAGGATCTAAATACTATATTATCTAGGACTGCAGCCCTTCCTCCTTTGCAAAATGAATTGGGCTACCCTGCTGCCCTAAGGCCTCCATCAGGGAATTAGTTCACTATCTGAGGCAAATTCCCATGGCACAAAATGTAGCCTTACGGTGCATCATTCAGTCAATCAATCAACAATGTATTGAGTAGGTCTTGTGGATGAGATGATTGGAGGTTTTCCTCAGAAGTTATACTGGGCCCTTGGAGAACCTTACCCCAGAAAAGCATCAGCAGGATGGTTTTAGGAAGGCTTAGGATGGACCTACTGGGGTGAGGGAGCAGGATCAGGGGTCCGGAATGCCTGATGTGGGATAAGGACTTGCCCTAGTCATAGGCCCTTAGGATCTCTCTGCTAAATCACTCGCCCCACCCCCCACCCCCAACCTCTGGGGCTTTCTTTCCTCCATTTCCATTCTCCCTTCTCAGTATGTGGACGACACGAGTGGGGAGGGATTCACCAAAAATTAAGTAAGTAATTCCTGCACCCCTCCGCTAACGTGCCTGAAATCAACTCCCAACTCCTAAACTGCGTATGTGGAATGGACTGCGGGGGATGGAGGGTATAAAGGGAGAGTCCCCCCCCCCCAACGCCCCAAGGAAAACAACTTATCACATTAACCCTTTGTGTTACTGCAATCCCCTTCCATCACCGTCAATTCTTCCCCTTCGTTATTACGCACTAGATTCCACTTACCCCAAGAAGGAGGAAAGAAGTGGACTGTGTAGAGAAAAAACATCCAAAATAGATGCCGCGCCGAGCGGTTCCCTCTCCCTCCGTGCCGCCGCAACTTCCATGGCTATTGCTGCGGGCGGGTTAAGTCTGGTGGAAAGAGACCGCCTCGGGTTCCTGCGGCAGGACAACAAAGCATCGTGGCGCAAAGTCGGCGCGCACCGGCCGTCCCCCGCCAGCAGCCCCGGGCCGGCTGCGGCCGCGTCCTGGGCGCATTCGGTGGCAGAGGGCGCGGGTCCTTGCCGGGGAAGGGTTGCAGCGGGGCGCCCCGGGTCTCTGCAGCCCAGAACCTGCAATAGTTGCGACACTACTTTAACGATCGCCGTGCGGCCCCCGCGCGGGAGGGCTGCGGGAAGCCGGAAAACCCCAGTCACCTCCCAGGAGGAAGTTTTCCGCGAGTTGGTGGCTCCCCTACCCCCTCCCCACGCCTCAGTCCGGGATGAGTGTGAGAGCCGAGGGGTGCTGCCTGCCGCGCGGGGAGTCGGTCTCTCCGAGTGGCTGGCGAAAAACAGCTCAGCCAGAGAAGAGGGGAACGTGGAGTCCGGCGTGAGTCCGGCGTGAGGCGGGAGAATGTCTTGGACCCAGAATAGCAGGGAGTGATGGAGCAGCCTAGGGAATCCTGCCTAGTGCTGGTTCGGCAAACAGAAGCTGGAGGACAGAGCTGATGAGACTCTGCTTTGAATTCACGAATACCAGAATGAATTCATTAACCTGCTTTGAATTTCTCCCTTTGGTTCCATCATTTCTCCCTGAAGTCCAGAAGAAATCCCCAGCTTCCAAGATCTTCCCCACCCCCAAGACACCTCCAGGTCCTCTCCTCCAGAGAACTACAGAGAGGTTTCCCTGTCCTTTTGTCAAGACATCCTCACCCACCCCCCCACCCCCGTGTACCCACTCTGCGGTAAAACTGACGAGTTTATGCGTTCAAGTTAACTTAAATTTCTCCTCCCAGAAACGTTTTCCCCAGTAAAGTTTCCCCTTTGTTCTCAGCATTTAATCCCTCCTCCATTTGGCTTCATGTCCCAACCAGCATCTGCAAAACACACCCTTAAATATATGTTGTTCTAATCTCGGGTTCTGCTTTTGGCTTGGAAAAGCTGGAGACACATCAGTAGCTAAAGGGCAGAGGGTGTCATATGTCACACTGCTCAATAGCAAACTCTGTGTACTGAACCCTGAAGATTTATTTTGGTGACTCAAACCTCTGATTGCCAATGAATGAAAACAACATAATATGAACTCCAAAGAAGTTGTACTTAAAGCATCAGACTGATGAAGGTGTTTCATAAGGAGGAACTACATTCCTCTTCCCTTGTAAGTTTCTCTGTTAAATTTCAGTCCTTAAGAAAATATTATTTAAGCTCCCATAAGGCACTGTGCCCAACATTTTACCAAATATATACAAAGCTGTAATCCTGCTTCTTATAAAACATGTTTTAAGGGATTCCCTCTCTCTGAGTTACCACCAATACA